GGACAGGGGATGGGCTTAATGGGGGATGGGGATTAAGGAGGGCACTTGTGTGATGAGCACTGGGTGTTATATTGAAGTGATGAATCGTTAAATTCTACTCCTGAAACCAATATTACACTGTATGTTAACTAACTAGAATTTAAATAAAAACTTGAAACAAACAAAAATAATAATAAACAACTTACATTAAAATATCAGTTACAAAAATCTGATTTTCTCACATTTTAATGTGTCTAGACCTTAGAAAATTAATCATAAAATGACTGAGTTTTTCATGTAATATCTTCTTTCTAATTCCACTACGTATGATAATTTAAATCCTATTTACACACATATTAAACAAATTTTCATTTTCTTAAAATACTGTAGAGATCTTTACAGGCATTCTGTTGTCCAGTATCTCTCTGATATAAAATCTGCAACTGTAATGAAATATTAATTAAGGAAATCAGAAATTCTGTATCTTTCATTCCATGAATCTTTTTTTTCAGACATTCAGGAGAATTTCTTCTGTACTTGAGTGCAATGAGTAATAAGCTTTAATATTTTTAAAATGATTACACATTCATTTCACATTACAAAGCTCTCGTACAAAATTACTTCCTTTTACTTTGTCCCAAATATTCTGAATACTAGCAAAGGCTTAATCCCTATAATTTAATTTATCAAGGAGTAGCTTCTGCTCTCCCAGGTTTTATTGTTTGTATAGGGTTAAAATCCTACATTGCTCAATAAATATTTATAGATTTACTGGATATATGCCATTATCTTCTTTCATCTAATGGGTGACTTCAAAAATACAAAGGGACACAGAAGAAAAATAAATAACAGAGGATAAACTATGATAAATAACAGGTGGTGTGAAATGAGTTTTTAAAATTTATTTTTATTTTAATTAAGAACATTTTTTTTCCAGCTTTATGTCATGGCAGCAAAAAGATTAGATTTTTGTGTTTCCTTTTGCCAGGGACTCTTATGCTGAAGAATTACTCCTCTAAGATCAGAAAAATAAAACAAAGGTATAAAAATATTACACAGATGTTGCAAATATTAAACAAACACTTAGGGCTGCCTGACAGTATTTCTGGTGCAATATTCTTTTAAAAATGTGTTTCAGTGAAAACCTTTTACAGGAGTTTTTGCACTGCCAACATCTCTTATTCAGGTTCCTAGAGAAATGAAATGTGGGTAGCAGTGACTAATTAAACTAGCAGCTACTGTTTCCCAAACAAGTTTGGACAGATTATATTTACGATGGCCAGATGAAATCAAAACCATTGAGTATAGTCAAAGTGAGACAATCTAAGAGGGCAACTGAGTTTTATCTGATAGCATACTGATTAACCTGACTTCATAAAGTTCAATGGCCTTTGGTGGCCACCTACATTGTCAAGTGCAGAGTGAGGCCTTGGAGTTGCAAAGAGGACTCAGTGACAGATGGTGACTACACGTACCTTGGTGAGCAATGAGTAACGTACAGAATTGTTGAATCACTGTATTGTACACCTGAAACTAATATAACACTGTATGTTAACTATACTGGAATTAAAATAAATAAAAATGAAAACATTAAAAAAATAAAATATAAAACATTCCCAAAAGAATCTCTCTCAAAGAAGTGAAGGCATGTGCACTTACAGGTTGCTTTAGAGAAAATGGTTATTCTGTTTCCTTTTGCACTGCCTTGTAAAAAGTTCACAGGTCTCTGAAATATGAAATGTACTGAACAGATGGATGAAAAGACAAATGACTGAATTAGTAAATGACAGTGAACCTTCCATAGGAGTGAGAGCGATGCAGGATCTTCAGTTAATTTATCTTTTCTTGATTTCCTCAAGGTCAAGGTAGTCTTTTTGCTATAAAGAACAACAATGATATAGTAATGCCTTTCATTTGTATAGCACTTTTTATTTGTCAAAGGATTTTTTTCCTGTTCTCACAATATCACTTTTAGGAAAATAGAACAGGTAGGCTATTTTTATACCCTTCAGAGAATTGTGCATGTAAGCCTGAACAAAATTTAAGGAAAAAGAAGAAAATGAGTAGCAAGTTGAGTATTGGGAATTCAGTGATCATTTAGGACATTTATGCTACAGTTAAAAATTGTGATTTTAATATTTTATTACTGCCACTAAACTATACCCAAATCTCTAAAATTTTATTATCCACTTGCAAGCATTAATCAGAAGACAGAAATAAATGGTTAATTCAGTACAGAGGTCAGTGACATGAAGATTTTCAATCTTTTTTTTAAATCTCCCACAAATCAGTATCGTTTTCTTAAAATTGCAAATGCAAGGTAGATATTATAATTGTTTACTTAATTAGTATTTTCTAAGCATGATATATGTATCTTTACTATATAGGAAACTCAAAACATATAGTGATACTTCACATTTTGAATTCAGTGTATATAATGACATCCTTGAATTCTGAAAATAACTCAAGGTAAAGTTCTGAACTGCAGAATTTGATATTTTGAAAAATAAAATGAGAATTTCATGGAGTGATTTCTTATAATATTCCATAATTCTATGTTACATATAACCAATGACTTGAATAAGCTCTAAACTTAATTAATGTAATTCAATTTTTTTTTTTATTTTGGGGTAAAAGAACACAATGTGGTTATTTTGAGAATTAGCTGGTTTCTTCTGGGTAAATTAAAGTCCAGAGATCACATTTTTGCATATACTTTATTCTTGATGTGTCTGAAGAAAGAAACAGTTAATGTGATTTGCAAAACCTAGAAGAAAAGGAAATGATAAGATATCAAAATAATAAATAAGAGTAATTCGCAGTTAAAACTTACAATACAATCCCCTACATGAATGTTTTATAGGGAAAGGATCAAAGAGTGGCCAAGTTTTGAAGTAAGGTACACATGGTTGCCAATAAGAAGTCTGCAAAGTGAGTCTTCTAGAGTAACCCAGGTATCACCAAGTTCATTTATGAAGGGACTAATGAATAGACTTCTATTTTAATTACATGAGCTATCATTGGGCTAGATGTCATGATGAACCCTGTGATCTGGTTTTTGTTCATCATCTGTGTCATCAGTCCTACAAAACTGCTTCATTTTGGTGTAGAATCATTAAAGATGGTGTGCAAAGAGTAGATGATAAAATGGACCACAGGTACTATCTCCCATTCAGTCTTGTCTTAAATACCCAAGCATGAACACAATGGGGAATAAACATTTTGAAAGAACATCATTAATGCATATAAAAATGTTTTAATCACCATTCTGAGACTATAGTTGTTACCAGTTGAAGAAAATTTATGGAACCTCGGGTCAATGCCTTTTTGTTTTTTTAAAATTTTTTTTTCAACGTTTTTATTTATTTTTGGGACAGAGAGAGACAGAGCATGAACGGGGGAGGGGCAGAGAGAGAGGGAGACACAGAATCGGAAACAGGCTCCAGGATCTGAGCCATCAGCCCAGAGCCTGATGCGGGGCTCGAACTCACGGACCGCGAGATCGTGACCTGGCTGAAGTTGGATGCTTAACTGACTGCGCCACCCAGGCGCCCCAGGGTCAATGCCTTTTTGGATCAGCATAAAATTAAATGCGGTATCCTATTCTGAACAAACCATGCATTATATATTCATTGCAGTGTTTTAGTCTACACTGTGATAATACATTCATTCTCACAGTTTTGTTAAATCCATAGCCTTCACCTGCTTTCATCAGTCTGCACTGAGACTGGAGAATGAAGTTCTGCTTCTGAGTCTCAAATCTGTAGTTGGCACCGTACAGGTCAGCAGGTCATGGAATGTGTCTGTTTTGCTTCCCATTGAATCTCTGACCATTAATACAGTACCTGACACACAGTAGATGTTCTCCCTCCTCCAAATTTATTGACTGACTGACTGAATGAATGAATGAGTATATGAGTAACTAGTACATTTACTAATGTCAAACATTGGTCTAGATTTCCAGTCTGCCAACTTGAAGACTGCCCAATGTGGGCTCTCACTGTTGAGATATGAAGTATTATATATATATATATATATAACATATATATAAAACATGTATATAAAACATATGTGAAGTATATATATACTTATATATATTTATTATATAATATATATTTAATATATTAATTTATTATATATTTATATATATTTATTATACAACACATAATAAATATATAGAATATGTTTATTATATATTATTACATATTTTATACATATATAAATACTTCATCTCTCTCTCTCTCTCTTTCTCTCTCTCTTTCTCTATATATATATATATCACAAAGCAATGAAGTCACTACCTTCCAGGATGACCATTTATTAACAGGTCATCCAACTTGGCTGACTTAAGGATATCACCCATCTAGTTGGGACCCATACCTCTCTCGGATGTGAATAGTCTCAAGGTCCGGACTCCTTTTGTATAATTTGTCTGATTAGGACTCCAGCTGGTTTTTCTGCAGTTTGTTATGTATGGTTTATACTCAACTATTTTTTATCTTTAAACATATTAACAAAAGCTTACCTCTGAAGCCAAAAGTCCGAAGTTAATTCCAGTTAATGTTAAAGCATTAGCGTTATACCATGTGTTGATTTTATTTTCACAACCCTAATGAAAGAAAAGTTATTTAGACTGACTTGGGAGAGGGAAATGGTCTTATATAGAATTCTATCACAAAGAAGAAGAAACATAATACAGTAATTCACAAACTCTAAAAAGTCATTGTCTAAGTGGAGACTAGCCTTTTTAGTCTAGAGAACTTCCTCTCATAGCAGAACATCTCTGTTACTACTTTTTAAGTTGCTAAGATGTTGTGATGTAATTGAAATCAGAAATTTATTAAATTTAGAAAGGGCTCTAATTTTCTGCACACTACTGTAATTCAGCAAGGTATGTACTATGACCGAAAATGATTATTTCCCAAATAGGAGAAGCTTAAAAAAAACCATAATGCTCTATTTATCTGTGAATGAATTATGTAAATTATTACAATTAGAATAACATCAGTGTGTGAACTATGTAAAATATTAGAAGTTCTTGGGATGGAAATCTTGTTGATCAGTATCCCATACCTGTAAGTAACAGACGAAACCCTGTTCTTGCTTCTACTACATTTATCTGAACACTTGTTCACTGCTGGCGTCCCCTCACTTCAGTTTTTGCCAATGCTCATACCTTCTTACTTCTGGTATTGTAGCTCCCTTACCAATCCTATATGCCAGAGATTGGCCAAAAGTGCCTCCCTTTTCTGCAGTGATTCAGTAAGGAGGGTTGGGGAGAAAGGTTGATGGTATCGCAAGCTCTAGGAGCACTTAAATAACATACTCTCAGAAAGTTAAAATAATAATTATTCATTAATTATGAGTTCAGTTTCATAAAGTAGCTTAAGAACTTAATCACTGTAAATAATAGTGTTTGTATATACAACTTTTGTTCAGCATTCTAAATTGACTTGCAAAAACAAAACAAAAAAAAGACACTGTAAACACTTGGAAAGCCTTATCTTTACCTCTAGGTAAGTTGCATTCAGTGGCTCATCACAAAACCACTTTCTTAATGTAGAATTTGTGCAAGAACATGGCACCTGCTCTGAATTTTCTTTATTTTTATTCTTTATCCAGTCTGTGTAATTGTACTGGCCACAACACTGCAACTAGAAAAGAAATCTATAAATTTTACTATAAAATATTCAAAAGGCAGTTAATTTTGATTCCCATGTACGTTAAAATATTTTTCTGAAAAAGTTATTAATTCATTCTGCATTGAAATGCAGTGAATTACAAATATAAGTATAGTTTTGTTTGTTTAATCCATTACTTTGTTACTGCTTTTGTTGATGTTAACCAGAACTAAAGATCTTTACAATATAAGTGGGCTATGTTTGGATGAAATTGTTAGATCTGAATTTATCATAAAGGAACCCAGGATGGAAGGTATACCTGATTTACTGAAGCTACAAACTATGTTTGGGACTGAATACAGAAAAGGAAATCACTATAGGCATATCTTTCTCTCCACTATAGCAGTAGCTATATTTTTTCTCCAGAATATGCTGCCATTTTTATTTAATTATACATAAAGAGATTCAGTGTTATTTTTACTCTCTTAGGACTAATATGTTAACTTGCAATTTTGTATTGTGTGAAAATTTTCCACAGAGAGTCAAAAAAGATGAAAAGGCAAACAGCCATAGAAATGATAAAACATTGGAAAGATCTCATTTCCAATCCCATCAAGTTGAATAGGGAAGATGTGAAAGAATGAACATATATATTTGTCACCTAGAATGTAAGACAGAGTTGAAGTGAATACTTCATTGTTTTCTAAACTTGTTGTTGAATGTTGTAACATCAGTACTGCCTATGTCACAATATGTACCAACAATCATGGAAATGTTGAATGACTGAAATAATGCTTTAGAGTGTGAGTACTGAAAATGAGTTCAGTCAAATCTACATGTCTTGTCTCAATTATACTCAGGACTAGGAACTGTAAGCTTGATTCTCATTAATAATAGCAATGTCACACATAGAACTTTTTTCTTGTTTATCAGTTTATGACCATAGGAAGGTTTGGTTCTCTGCCATCAGTCCTAATGCAATCTAGAGAGGCAATACATGTACACATCATATGCGTCAGGGGAAAAACAGTACGACTAAAAAAGCATTTATAGTTATATTTCAATTCTCCTAAAATGCCTTTCTGTTATTACATATACTAAAAATAATAGCTATTTCTTTTTTTAATTTTTTTTATGTTTATTCATTTTTGAAAGACAGAGAGAGACACAGTACAAGCAGGGAAGGGGTGGAGAGAGAGGTGGGGGGGGGGTGTGGTGCACAGAATCTGAGGCAGGCTCCAGGCTCTAAGCTGTCAGCACAGAGCCCAACGCGGGGCTCGAACTCACGAACCGTGAGATAATGACCTGAGCCACCCAGGTGCTCCAATGATAGTTATTTCTATGTGAGGCACCTACTATAGTAGTTAGAGTACAAAATCTAGTGCTACATTGTCTGGAATTGAATCATGTTTCTGCAACTCAATTAGCTCTATGACCCTGGGTAAGTTACTCAATTTCATAGTCCTTCATCTATAAAACGAGGATAATAGGTCTTACTTCATTGGGTTCAGAGGAGTAAATATGTTGATACATATAAAGAACTTACAAAAAGTAAATACAAAAATTATTTTCTTTATCAAGCATTTACTAAGTCCCAGCTGGTGATCTATTCCTGTAAACCATCTGGGCAACCATACCCATTCCTGTACGCTGCCTAGAAATATTTGGTGTGCAAAATAAGAATCATAATACATTAGCTAGCAAGTATTAATTGCTCACTATTTTCCAGATCCAAGGCTTTCTGTACATTCTATATATTATTTCATTGATTCCTGCCAACCAGAGGTAAGGGTTATTCTGTCCATTTTAAGAATATGGAATCTGAAATTAATAAGGATATTTGTCCAGGGTCAAAAAGCTAATATGTAGCAAACCTGACATTCAGGCTTAAATGGTAACTACCATGTTTCTCTGCTGCTGGCAAGAACTGTGCTCAGACTTCTGTCCCACAGGTGCAGCAGGGAAGATTGCCCCACCAACACTTTTATAGGTGAGACCAGGTTAAAATGCACATCAGTTAACCAAGAATCGAAGATCTAATTTACAAAAGGAGGATAAAACTCAAGATTTGTAACTGGGAACAATGCTATTCCTCTCATTCCTCTGTTCCATCTCCCACCCTTCCCCGTCTCCCTTACCCTATAGTGATCATGTTTGACATCTAATTTTTAGTTTTATGCTAATTTTCTCTTACTGTTTTCTGTAAGGCATTCAGAAAAGTCCACTTGGGTATATCTTCAGGCATATCTTTAGATCCATACTCAGCAATGATTAAGTCAACTTTATCATGCCATACTTGGTGAATCTGTTGAAAATTGCATCAAAGTCAAAATCTGAAATCCTATGGGATTTGTCTTTCTCTGATTTCGCTTAGCATAGTACTCTCTAGTTCCATCCATGTCATTGCAAATAGCAATATTTCATTCTTTTCGATGTCTGAGAAATATTCTATTGTATATATAATCACTAATTTGTACACCTGAAACTAATATTACACTGCATTTTAACTAACTGGACTTTAAATGAAAACTTGGAAAGGAAAAAAAGTCCAAATCTGAAGGAAACTTTCCTTATGGTTCCTAACAAAAGAGTATTCTAGTCATTTTGCTGTTCTCTGATTATTCCTGTGTTTTCTGTTTCTTTAACTACTTTTAGCAATCTCAGTGAGTGCTGAGGCATTTGGTCTTTTGCATTGTGACCTACAAGAGGAATACATGAGACTTATTTTATGGCTGAAGAGAAAGTTATGTGCTATTCTCCTGAATGTCTAAGGATTCTGCTTTTCTTCTTGTACTCTCAGGAAAAATTGTGAAAAACTCTGAAATGGGCCGAAAAAGATTACTGAGTATCTTTTTAATGGAAATTAGGCTTTCTTTAGCATAACTTCAGGGTCTTCTTATTTCATGAGGGTCTGTATCTTTCTCAGTTTTTAACTTATTTAACAACTTTGTAAGTTGTAGGAAACTACTGACAACTGATGCTTTATCAGAGAAATGCAGATGAATTTTTCCTGGTGGGGGGCAAATGATATCTCCTCTACCAACTGTGTTTTGTATATGTTAAGAGATAGCCTTTATAAGTGTCTTCTCTTTGGACTCTCCTTTGAACTGGTTTTTATTTCTTACTGATTCCCACATTAATCAAGATGTTAAATAAAATCACTGATCTGTGCTTGCTGTATATTTATACAAGAGTTATGATTTTTAATTTAAAAAATTAAATTATGTTTTCACAATGCTATAACAAAAACAATCAGATTTGAAAGAATGGGGTGAACATGCTATTTCAAAACCTAGATATTGCAGAGGTAAATTTTAATAGTAATCTACTTAAATATTTAAAAGTTCAGGTGACTTTCATAACTAAGGTAAAACGTAGAAAGAACAGATACTATTCCATTTTATGAACAAGGAGATCGAGAATTTAGTTATTTGCTCTGTTTACATGAATAAGGATGTGGAGATGAGGCTTTTAAATATGGTTCATTTGAATTCTAGTTTAGTGATTTCTCATTGTATTATGCTATCTTTGAATAATGAAAACTAATTAACTGGTGGGAATACTACAACCATTAAACCATGTGTACAAGTTAACTCTAATGTAGTCACTTATATATCTATGCTTTAATGCATTTAAGAAGATTAGAATAATGTAGTGTTATTTAGATCTGTAAGTTATTTAATTTATTCTCTAAGTTAATTTTTATTTATTTTCATTTTTTAATGTGCTTTTTTAAAAAAAAGTTTATTTATTTTAAGAGAGAGCATACGTGCACATGAATCAGGAAGGGGTAGAGAGAGAGGGAGAGAGAATCCCAAGCAGGCCCCATGCTGCCAGCATGGAGCCCTACCCGGGCCTTGAACCCACAGTGAGATCAAGACCTGAGCCAAAACCAAGAGTTGGATGCTTAACCAACTGAGCCACACAGGCACCCTAATTTTTATTTAGACTAGAAAATATTTTTCCATTTTCTATTGTTGTAGGAAGGGGCAGGCTTATGTCCTTATTTACCCTCTGAAGCATTATTTGGGAGATCCAGAGAGCAGATAAATCACATCTTAGTACACAAGAGTATCATATTTAATCTCCATGACTTCTATATAAAGAAAATCCCCTCACACATATTTATTTTGACAAGGATCCTTTGTAGCCCTAGTGCACCTCAAACACTGTTGGGTGCTGTAAGTGGCATAAAAGACTTAGAAGCTCCTAGGAGCTTAATCTAGTGTGAATGTAGAAGGAAAATTGATGTAAACAGAGCTGTTACCTCTAGATTCAGTTAATAAGTGTTTGAGTCCAGAATCTGTCATTTGGCCATGATGCATTTTAGCAAACATTTCTCCTCTCAAAGCCTCAGTTTCCTGTTCTAGAAAGTAGGACTAACAATGCCTCTCTAGGGGTTGTTGTGAGAATCAAAAATCTAATGCCTATAAAGTGCTTATCACAGTCTCTGGCACATGGTAATTATTCTTAGGTGATCATTTTTATTCTTAAATTAAGTAGAGATGAATATGTGAATAATACTTAAGAGAGCATGGACAACACTGATAAACTAAATTTAGGTGTTAAGGATCCTGAGGTGTTATATTCAAGTTCTATCACCAGATCCAAAAGTTACAGGCCGATTGGTTGGGATGTAGTGCTTTGCCACCATTAGAGCTTTACAGAACCCACATACTGTGCACACACATACACACACACACACACACACACACACACACACACGAGAAGACATTTTAGCTCTAAATGTCAGGCCATTAACAACAAGTCTTGGGTGGCTAGATATCCAGGATAGATGCCAAGCACAGGAGAGCAAATGAAGTTGGAGGGTGATGGTGTTCTACAGGAATGAGGTTTGGTCATTGCTTAGGACTCTACATATAGAGAGATTTTTGAAGGCTAGGAAGTGTAGGAATTGATCAGGGCTTCCTTTGAAATTAATTAAGGTAAGAAAGGGAGTTCTTTTTTAAAATATTAAAAAAAAATTAAAGTTTTTTTAAATTCATTTTTGAGAGAGACAGAGTGTGAATGGGGGGGGGGAGGGAGAGAGAGAGAGAGAGAGAGAGAGAGAGAGAGAGAATCCAAAGCAGGCTCCAGGCTCAGAGCTGTCAACACAGAGCCTGATGTGGGGTTGGACCCACGAGTTAGGAGATCATGACCTGAGCCGAAGTCGGACACTTAACCGATTGAGCCACCCAGGTGCCCAGAAAGGGAGCTTTAAGTAGCTACTCAGTGACAGAAACTTTTGAAGTTGTCAGTTAGTGGTAACTCTCTAAGGGAGGTGGGTATTAACCATGCTGTACAGATTAAGACATAGGCTTAGGACTGCTAAGTAGCTTGTGGACCTCTAGTTATCTGCAGATCTGTATGACTTCAAGTCCATGCTCTTTCCTACAGGAAAATCTCTCATAATACAGAGACAGAGCATGACTGCACTGAAACAATGACATTTCTTTTTCTTTTTTTGAATTTTTAAGTTTATTTATTTATTTTAAGAGAGACAGAAAGTGGGGGAGGGGGCAGAGAGAGAGAAGGAAAGAGAGAGAATCCCAAGCAGGCTCCGCACTGTCGGTACAGAGCCCCATGTGGGGCTCGAACTCATGAACCATGAGATCATGACCTGAGCCAAAGTTGGATGCCTAGCCAACTGAGCCACCCAGGCACCCTGAAACAATTAAATTTCTTTAAAAATAGAGGGTAACCATTGACCTTAGTAGGTAATTTTTGTTACCCAAAGGTTTTTTTCAGGCAGTTTACTATATGGTTTTTTTTTAAATTTAATTTGATAAATATAAATCTCGTTGTGATTGATTATATCACTCATGACCATACCTGTACCAAATATTTGAATTATGCATTTCATTTCATTTAAATACCTAAATTTCAAATTCATACAAGTCTAAAGGTATTTCTTCACAAAAATAGAATATAGTAAGTCTATATAGAAAAATAGAATTGGGTTAATCATGGGAGCCAGGGTTGGCTGGGAGACAAATTTTGGATTCCCTACACCCACTATCACCCCCTCTTCCCCCATGTTCTTTGTTATTTACAACACTGTCAATATTCTGCTGAGTTAAAGACAAATTTCCTTATAGTCCACCTTTTTGATATGACCTTATATAGAATTCTGTAATATGTCCATTGAATCTTTTTCCCCACAAAGCCATTTACCTTTCGCTCTTAATATAGGCTCATAGGTCTTAATAATTTAAGATGTCTAATTTTCTTTAGGTTTCAAATAAAAGGATGATCTTTCCATACCTCTTTTTTCTTTGTGAAGATGAATCCTGAAAGTACAACTTGAACACCAAAGGCCCACATTAACAGTGCTGCATACTAAAACAGAAGAGAAATAGAGATGGTAACTGTGCTTCTACTATGTACTTTAGATGTTACAATGATGGGGAAATGTACATTATATGAAATATCCTGTCTTAAAATACACACAGGTATTGCTGGTTTCCAACCCTCATATACATGAGTGATGTTATTCAAACAAAAAGGCAAAGAAAAAAAATCATTGAACATTTGGATAAGAGTAAGACAGAAGTGATAGTATTCAGTGGGCACCCTAACAGACCACTTGGTCTAATGAAATTGTTGATGATCTTCCTTCGTTTGGATCTAAAACTGTCCTAGAGGGGAACTCACTTGGCTGGATCTCCACTTAACGCACCATGACACTAACACTAGAAAACTCACTGAATTGTGACCTATTAGGCGAATCCAAAATGAACAAAATAACAACAATAACAGAAAATAACAAAAGTATCTGCTATAATAAGATTAAATTTGTATGTACATTTAAATTATTCCTTTGAAAACTGAAAATACTTCTCTTCAAGGCCAAATGAAATTATTTGCACATTTATTTAACTATATTTTTTAAACTTAAGGCCACTGCAATCTTCTTCATCATAGCAGCACATAGTAGTATATATTATCTAGAATTTATAATGATCTAAAAAAATTAGCAGTCTGAATATTTTACTAACTAAAATATAAGAATGACTCACTGTTAGTATTCTTAATTTCACATATTTTAAACATTAATACTTTAAAATAGTTAAAATTTGTTTGTTTGATATAAGTTACAAATCTTATTTTTAGAGACAAATGTTTCAGAGACAAAAATAGGGTCTTTAGATCTGTTTAGAAGTTTAGATTTCTAATACTTCTACATACATCGTCTCACTTAATCTTCACTAAAAGGAGATTTGTAGAGACAGGAAAATTGTAAAACAATACTTCATTATAAAATATTGTAAGACAATATTTTAATGTAAAACAATAAAAAAATTACTGGGCTTCTTTTTAATGGAAAGCTGGTTGTGGTCCAGTGGACCTTCCCAGTGTTCTGATCCTATGGACATATGCAGTGTTACTTTGACTAAACTATTATTCAACTCTGTATGGGGTAAACTTACAGAATTATGGTAGTAATACAAAAGTTCCTCTTCTTCAATATTACTTTGGCTATTCGGGATCTTTTGTGGTTCCATACAAATTTTAGGATTGCTTGTTCTAGCTTCGAGAAGAATGCTGGTGTAATTTTGATTGGGATTGCATTGAATGTTAGATTGCTTTGGGTAGTACTGACATTTTAACAATATTTATTCTTACAATCCATGAGCATGGAATATTTTTCCATTTCTTCATATCTTCTTCAATTTCCTTCATAAGCTTTCTAGTGTTTTCAGCATACAGATTTTTATATCTTTGGTTAGGTTTATTCCTAGGTATTTTATGATTCTTGGTGCAATTGTGAATGGAATCAGTTTCTTTATTTGTCTTTCTATTGCTTTATTATTAGTGTATAAGAATGAAACTGCTTTCTGTACGTTAATTTTGTATCCTGTGACTTTGCTGAATTCATGTATCAGTTCTAGCAGACTTTGGGTGGAGTCTATCGGAATTTCCATGTATAATATCATGTCATCTGCAAAAAGTGAAAGCTTAACTTCATCTTTGCCAATTTTGATGCCTTTGATTTCCTTTTCTTGTCTGATTGCTGATGCTAGAACTTCCAATACTATGTTAAACAACAGCAATGAGAGTGGACACCCCTATCGTATTCCTGATCTCAGGGGGAAAGCTCTCAGTTTTCCCCCATTGAGAATGATATTAGCTGTGGGCTTTTCATAAATGGCTTTTATGATGTTTAAGTATGTTCCTTCTATCCCAACTTTCTTGAGGGTTTTTATTAAGAAAGGATGCTGAATTTTGTCAAATGCTTTTTCTGCATAGATTGACAGGATCACATGGTTCTTACCTTTTCTTTTATTAATGTTATGTATCACATTGATTGATTTGCAAATATTGAACCAGCCCTGCAGCCCAGGAATGAATCCCACTTGATCATGTTGAGTAATTCTTTTTATATGCTGTTGAATTTGATTTGCTAGTATCTTGCCGAGAATTTTTGCATCCATATTCATCAGGGATATTGGCCTGTAGTTCTCTTTTTTTGCTGGGTGTCTGTCTGGCTTGGGAATCAAAGTAATGCTGGCTTCATAGAATGAGTCTGGAAGTTTTCCTTCCCTTTCTATTTCTTGGAATAGCTTGAGAAGGATAGGTATTATCTCTGTTTTAAATGTCTGGTAGAATTCCCCTGGGAAGCCATCTGGTCCTG